TGGAAATAAAAAAGAGGGTTTATTGATCCGTGTCTGTTTCCATTAGCTGGGAGGAGAGCTCTGGAGATCCCGGATGATCATTATCTGAACATTAAAGAGAACCACAGTCAGCAGAACCGGTCCACGTACCGTCAGAAACCCGGAAAAAAGGTTTAATGAGACGGAACCACACAAAAGATGTCAAATATGAAGTCAACAGAAAGGTTAAAGGCAGTATGGATGGATGTTAGTAGGTCAGAGGAAGAGGAGGGATGGATTAACCCTATAAAGCCAAATGTAAAAATAAAGTTAAAAAAAAGAAAAATGGCAGTTAGGCTAGTCTGATCCCACACTAGCATTAGCATTAGCATTAGCATCTGTAACCCACAGGTCTGTGTCCTAACCATTAACCCTATAATGCCAAATGTGTGATATCTGATCGGGTTTCTTTTGGATGTGAGACTTTCTGCATCATTCAGTGGTAAAAGCTTTGCTCAAACCCCTGTTGTACACATTCAGATATACCTGATAACAGCTAGTAGAAGACCACACCAACATAGATTTCTGACTTATTGCACGCTAATTTGATCAAAATCATTTCTGTTTTTTTTCTTCATTTGTCGTTGAGGGGCCAAAAAAAGACTTCAGACTAAAAAAAATCCAATATTCTTCCTATTTTTCTTGGATCAGGCTTTAAAGGGTTAAGTCAATGGTGATTAAAAACTAAAGCATCTTTGAGTCTTTTCCATCATCCTTATTCAGCCAAATTTGTGTCCCAACAAACAAAAGTTTCTCAACAACAAATTAGGTCGTAGTAACATATGGACCTCTTTAAAAAATTGGCAAATATTGAGCAAATATGATGTATGAAGTAGAAATGGATAGGAGTCCAACGGGTCCTGTTGATATATAATAATATAACTATATATAATAAGATTAAAACACACATTTTTCTTTAAAAAACTGACTTATTGCACGCTAATTTGATCAAAATAATTTCTGTTTTTTTTTCTTCATATGTTGTTGAGGGGCCAAAGAAAGACTTCAGACTAAAAACATCCAATATTCTTCCTATTTTTCTTGAATCAGGCTTTAAAGGGTTAAACCTATTTCTTAGGGCTTTTAAATCTGTGTTTTGGGGGCTTTTAAAGCTGTTTTTTGGCCTTTAAAGCTGTTTTTAGGGCTTTATTGCACACTAATTAGATAACATAATTGATGTTTTTTTTCTTCATATGATGTTGAGGGGCCAAAGAAAGACTCCAGACTAAAAAAATCCAATATTCTTCCTGTTTTTCTTGGCTTTAAAGGGTTAAAGG